GCTGTCACCCGGACAGCTAGGATCCCGTCTGACTAAAAGCTTCTGCACAGCAGAGAAACCACGAGCAGAGTGAAGAGACAACCCACAGTGTGGGAAGAAATGTTTGCCAGCCATTCCTCAAAGGAATAATAACTAGAATATATTTTTTAAAAAACTAAAAAAAAAAAAAAAAAGAAAGAAAGAAACCCAGTCCTCCCGAATGTAAAGACTCAGTGGGGAGATTCCTCAAAAAACTAAAATTAGAGGCTCCATTTGACCCCGCTGTTCTTCTTGGTATAGTCCCCAAAGATGTGAATGCATCGTGCCACAGTGCTGTATGCAGTCATGGCCAGAGCAGCACAGTTTGTAATAGTTACATCTTGGAAACAGCCCAAATCCCCATCAACCAATGGTGGCTGAAGAAGATAAGGTTTTTCATACAGTGGAGTATTACTCAACCATAAAAAAGGATAAAGCTGAGCCCTTTCTCGCTAAATGGATGCACCGTGAGTCCATATTCTCAGGTGAAACAAATCTGACACACGTGCCAGGTGGTGGCGTACACCTGTAGTCCCAGAACTCTGGAGGCTGAGGCAAGAGGAACATTGCAAGTTCAAGACCAGCCTGGGCTACCAAGTGAGTGCAAGGCCCGCCTGAACTGCATGACAAGGCCCTGTCTCAAAAATACAAAAAGGGGCTGGTGAGATGGCTCAGTGGTCTAAAGCACCCACTTAGAACAAGCTAAGCTAAGCAAAGCACAGGGACCGCGGTTCAATCCCCAGCACCACATGCCAGCCAGCCCCGCCCCCTGGTGGGCTGAGCTGGCCACACGCACACATAAATAAATAAAATTAAAAAATATATACAAAAAAAAAATCAGACACATGTTCAAATACTGCACTGCTTCTTTGGTTTGAGGAACTGAACGTATAAATAAGGACCAAAATATATGCTAGATAATGGGGACGGGAAGAAAATGCTCGAGTGAAAAGGGAACAAGGGAGGAGGGAGGGAGAAAGGGACAGGAAAAAGAAGGAAAAAAAGTCAAAGCTCTTTAAATAGGATAAGAAGGGTTGAAGGGAGGGGAGAGGGGGGACAAGATGTGTCACGTACCGGTACAGATTCCCTATGATGAATGTGGTCATTATGGATACCTAAAAGGTACCATATTTTTTAAAAGGCCTGAGAAATAGCTCAGTGTTCCCTGTGTTCAATCTCCAGTAACAAAAAACAAAAAGGACAACGATTTCTGCCCCAGAACCCTTTGCGCCCAGCATGTCCCGGCTCCCAGCCCAGGCCCACCGCACTGTCGTGTCACAGAGGTGATGTTCACCCCTGAGCCAGGGAGGCAATCGTGAGACGCACCCCCAGCTCCAGGCGGCCCCCGGCCTCTCCTGAGCAGGAGTCTGCCGCTTACCCAGCCGCAGTCCCAGGCATCACCTCCAGGGCCGCCTGGGACTTCGGGCCTTTCTGTCAGGTGGAGGCTCTGGCTCACGGAAGAGCCCTTTTGCCCCCAAGTCCATGTGCTTCACCTCCCTGGATGCCAGCCTGAGTCAGAGCCAGCTTGCCAGGCACCTGGGCCAGCATCAGCGAGCTTGGCCTGAGCGGGCAGGGCACAGTGGGGCATGGATGGGCAGGGCAGAGCATGGTAGGACTGGCCTGCACGGCAGACAGGACGTGGCCAAGACCCAGCACAGCCAGAGCTGCGTCCCAGCGGGGTAGCCCCGTCTGGTCCTGGGGTAAGGATCCCTGCTGGACCCTTCCTGTCCCTCAGAACAAAGGCGGCAGAGCCTCCAGGGGTACAGACCGAGATGCACAGGTCTGGAGCAGGGACCACCTTGTCGGCAGAGGGTGCACGGGAGATTGAGGTGAAGGCAAGGGGAGGTCACTGAAGCCTCCTGAATTTTGGGGCCGAGCACTGTGGGGACAGCAGGACCTGCCCCAGGCATAGGCAGGAGGCAGAAGCTGCCAGAGCAGCGTTGCTGGAGGAAAGTGACCAGGGAATTGTCCTTGGGAGAGTGGCAAACACGCGATCGGCCATGCAGGAGGGGGCCAAGATGGCCCCCAGCAGGACAGGGTGGCCCATTTGTCCCTGGGCCCTGCTGCAGGGTCATTTCCTGGGGACCTGTGGCGTCACCTGCTTCTGGCCTACCTGCGTTGTCACTGTGGAGCTGTGACATTCAGCTCTAGGAGCCCAGGGACTGCTGAGTGGGGCTGGGACACTGGCCAGGGGACTTACGGAGCTCCAGGAGGAGGATCTGACAAGCCCAGGCCCGAGAGGGGTCCCAGCACCCCGCAGCCTCAGAGCCAAGACTCCTTGGCAGTTGAATGCGGGTCTTTGACACGCCATCCTGTGGCAATCCCGAGTGCAGGGAGAGCCTGCTCTCCCAAGGGTCAGGCTTGGGGAGAGTGGTGGCCACTGTTGGGACTCAGGAAGGGTGGTCTCATTGGCTCGCAGTGGACACGGTCTGCTCAGGGTATCCCTGCCTCCCATGGACCCCGCTGTACCCTCTGGGCAGAGGCAGGCACTGTGTCCGTGGCCAGGGAGAAATACCCAGCCCAGCTCCCGTGTCCAGGCCTGCAGGCAAGGCTGGCCTGAGGCCACACGATAGCCCTCAGTATAGGGTCCTGGCCTCTGGGGCTGCTCTGAAGCACAGGGCGATCCTGCTCTGACCCTAGAGCTCTGCTCGGGGTGGCTGTTGCAGGCCAGCTTCTCGCCACCCTGGGGAGTCCGGAGCTCCTGCGGGCTGGTGGGGCAGCTGCACAGGCAGGGCCCCTGTGACGGCCCTGGCTCCTCTCATCCCAGCCAGGCCCGGGACAGGCAAGGCAGGGACGGCCCTGAGCAGTCACTGCCGGGTCCTCCTCCCTCAGCACCCAGGTCCCTCGCTGCCCCGGGCGAGCGTGCATCCTGAGAAGCAGGCGGAGCTGTTCCTCCTCCCCAGCGCTGTTCTCTGCCCTCATGCACGTTGGAGATGGGGAAACTGAGGCCTGGCCTCTTGAGCCAGGACGCGTCAAAGGAGCCTGACCCCTGTGCCAGCCAGCCCATGCATGCCCTGTGCTCTGAGATTCAGGAAGAACCTGCCCCAGTCTTCTTTCAGGGCCGACCGGCCACCGAGGACAAAGAGGCAGCTTCATAGCCTAGCCCTTCCCGGGGAGGTTCTGCCCGCGGCCCTGGCCATCAGCAGGGCTGCCCAGGGGCCCCAGGACCGGGGACCTCGCGGCACCATCACTCCAGGCCGTCTCCACCAGGGGGCAGTGCAGCCCCGTCCCTAGCTCGGCCCCCAGCTCCAGCCTCCTGAGCCTCCCCATGGCCTGGCCTCCGGAGTGGGCACCGCCCAGCAAGCTCCGGGGCTGGGTCTGCGGAGAGCCTTCTGGACGGCTCTGGCTTCTTGGCCCTGAATTCCGCACCATTTCCCGAAGTCCCCATACCCTGTCTGGCAAATTCTATCCCCCAGAGTCCTTGCTCCAGACGTGCACACACTGGGGTGACCTCCGACCGTCGGCAGCCCACTACCTTCAGCCCACCACACACCGCTGGCCACCCTGGCCCTGGCGGGCTGCTTGCGTGGGATCCAGAGGAGATCGCAGGGAGCGCAGGCCATCCAGAGCCGGCTTCCGCCCCGCTGGCCACCCTGGCCCTGAGCGCTGTCTGCATACAGCGCCCGTGCCGACCAGACGCCAGAGCAGGGGTGGGACCGGCCCCAGCCTCAGTCTGCACAGAGCTGGCCTGTGGCTCAGCATTTGGCCACTCGGAGAGGTGAAAATGTGGGCATGGTCGCCCACACCTGTGGTCCACTGGCCACAGAGCTTACCCCACCCGGGAGGGCACTGAGGGGCTCATGGTGGGAGGCCCAGAGAGGTGCACGCTGGGCTCCTAGGCACCTTGGGTCAGGGCAGCCATGAGTGCCCACTGATCCCGGGTCCGCGTCTCCAGCCCCTCTCGCCTTGCCCTGCAGCCCGCCCTGGCTCTCAGCCCCACAGCTGCACCAATGGGAAAGGACAGCCGTGGCCAGGAGCTGCAGCACTCCGTAACACTGGCAGGCTGGGCAGGGGCGGGCACCCAGCAGTGATCGCTGCCAGGGGCAGCCCTGCCTCGGGTCTCAGTCCTCATGCTGCAGGGGCCTCAGGGCTGCCTGGTGACCTGCAGGAGGGAGGCGTGTGCAGACCCTGGAGGGTCGCAGGTCTGTCCTGCAGGAACAAGGCTTAGAAGAAGAGCATGTGAGAGCTGCCCCCACGAGGTCCTGTCCCCACTTTTTTTTTTAAGTCTCTTTGAGACAGGGTCTCACTATGCAGTTCAGGCTGGCCTTGAGCTCACATTGTAGCCCAGGCTGGTCTCAAACTCACAAAGATCCTGCTGCCTCTGCATCCCAGGTGCTGGGATTACAGGTATACGCCATAATTTATCATCCAGCCCTGTCCCCACTTTCTTGTGGATCCAGCTTCCCACACTTTGGGGTGTCTGAGCCCCACAGTGTCCCCTCCCTCAGCAGCCACACTGCTGTGCAGCCTTGGGTCTATGAGATCGTGAGGGCCAGGAGCCAGAAGCCAGCTCCCCTCTGCAGAGGAGCAGCAGCCATCGGCTGTGGCCCATTTTCCCCAGTCAGACATCACTCATAGATGACACAGCAGCACGACCCCGAGCTCCTCTGTAGAAATGCTTCGAGCTGTCGCCCACGATTGTCTGCCTTGCCACACAGACACCTGGGGCACGAGGCACACATGTCGTGCTGCAGGTTTGAGTGGCCTCTTCACTGGGAAGCCTGTCGCAGAGCTCCTGCACCTGGTCCTGGCACCACTGTGGTTGGCAGGCTGGGGGCCTGGGTCCAAGCCGTACTGCATTGCACAGTGGACCTTTGTGTGGCCCTGCATGGTCCTCGTGGGAGTCCACGGAGCAAAGTGCAAGAGCCATGTCCAACCACACAGCCCTGATGGGGGAGCTGAGTCCAAGTCTAGGCGCCTGGTGCTGCTGGCCATCTGGTCCCTATGGAGCCACCCCCTGAGGCACCCTGTCCTCTCTACAGGGACAGTGGCATGGCGACGTGTTCAGTGGGCTGGGCAGCTTGGCCCATTGCTCTGGGGTTACCTACTGTGGGCTGTGGATCAACGGCCACCCAGCAGGTAGGGTCCCATCCTTCCGTAAGCCTCATTTTCCTGCACAGGGCCCCAGGAAGCCATGCGATGGGTTGGGCCACCAGCACATCCAGTGGGGGATGGGCAGCATGGAGCCTAGTGTCCCATCCACTCTCGAAAAGCAGGTTATTCTGGGCTTTCAAGAGGCACATGGGCTTTCAGATCCCCACGACTGACCTTGGATCCAAGGCATTGTGCTGCAAGCAGAGTGCCCCAGTCCCAAGACCTTCTGGCCACAGAGCTTGGGCATCTGCCCTGCTGCCCTGGTCCTAGCACCTCCATTTGGGCCCGTGGCACACTCCACGCTCCCATGTGACCACAAAGGGCCCGTGGCCCTGAGAGGCTGGCCACCGGTCCTCCCTGAGCTATTCCTGGCGGCAGTGAGTGGCCTGACGTCCACACCTTGGTGGGGAGTTCATGCTGAACAAGCAGGTGCTCACTGTGAGCCAGTCTTGGCTGCACCCAGGGCCCCCCTCCTGAGTGCAGTGTCTGCTCGGTGCCCGACATGATGCCTGCCTTGCCTTCCCCAGCACCGGCCACAAGGATTTCGATTCTGGGCCCAGAGGTGCTGGAGGTGGCCCTCGGCTCTCCCTTCACAGTGCGCGTGCAGCTGCAGCAGGACAACGGGGAGACGGCGGAGGGTGAGTGTCCCGGGACCCTAGGCTGCAGGAGCCAGCCAGCTCTGGCCTGAGCTGCAGAGGCTCAGCCGTGTGCCCAGGGGCTCCAGGTCCCTGTGAGCTGGTCCAGGAGGCCTGGTGCCTGGAGCCTGGCAGGAGGGGCAGGTGGCAGGGGAGCCCTCCGGCTGGTGGGGCAGCGTGTGTGGGTGCATGCAGACGCACAGGTGTGTGCACGTGTGCCTGCGTGTGCGCTGGCATGCTCAGGCTCTCGCGTGACGTCAGCACACATCTGTCTCACAGCAGAGATGGAAAGAACGCTGCCAGCTCCGCCGCCTGGGGCACAGGCTGTGGCCCAGGCGGGCATGTGGCCACCTTGTCCTCTTCATGGGAAAAGTCAAGGAAGAGGGCAGGTTCCTGCCCTACCACGAGGACAGGCAGCCCTGAGGCTTCCAGACCCTTCCCACCACATCGTGATTCCCCAGATAGGAGGCCACTGTAGCCCGATCTGCTTTGACAGGAAGCCTCGGTGTGTAGCACAGAGCAGATATGTTTAGTCTCAACTAGTTCAGCAACTTTACTGAGTCACCATTTATATACTGTGAAATTAATCTGCATTCAGTGATTCCATGGCCTGTAATAGCGAAGGATTTGGGCCGCCACCGCCACACCCCGACCCCCTTCCAAGCACTCCCTTCGTGGAGAGGGTCCTCACTCCTGCCTACGGCTCAGGCCCTTGCCGGCCCCAACAGCCGCCCCTCTGTCAGTTGTCTCTGTAGATTTGCCTTCTCCCAGTGCTGCACACAAATGCAGCCTTCCCTGCGTGACCCTTCCTCCTCACCTTCTCCCCTCCCCATGCTGGGGATTGACACCAGGGCCTTTGCACTGAGTTTCTGTCCCAGCCATTTTTATTTTCAGACGGGGCCTCCCCAGGTCGCTAGGTTGCCCGAATGAGCTCAAATTTGCAGTCCTCTTGCCTCAGTCCCCCGGGAGTGCGGGGATGACAGGCGTGTGGTGATGCGGCCACTTCTTGTTTCTCCGGCATGTTTGGGGGCTCACTGTGTTGCAGTGTATGCCTGCACCCCTGCTGCCTGGCAGTGGCATCATGTGCTGTGACAGCCAGGTTCTGCGTGCTGTCATATGGGCTGACAGACGCCTGAGGTGCTGTCCTCTGGGCCGTTGGGAACAGTGCTGCACGAACCCGGCATGCACACGCATGTGGGAACGAGTGTCCATTGCGCCTGGGTGCAGACCTGCAAGAGAATCGTTGGAAAAACCTCGTTTTCCAGACTGGCCCCTCACTCAGTGTGTGGGGCTCCACGTGGATGTGGGGTCTCACTTGGGCTGTGCTGCCTCGTGGGCGGGAAGTGGCTTATCCTGGTGTCTGGGCTTGCATGTCGCTAATAAGAAACGTTGAACAGCTTTCTATGTGCTTGTTGGCCATTCGGAGATCTTTGGAAAGTTTTGTTCAGTCATTTTACTCATTGTTATGGTCTGTGTGTAGTTGTCCCCCATTGCTGTGGCTAAACCTGACCATGTGGATTACAAGCTTTTGGGAATGGCTGATGGGAAGAGATAGGAAAGGTTCAAAGGTGTCGCCTACAAGCGAAGCGCTGGAACAGGTTCGGCTCTTCTGTTTGGGAGATTCTGGTCAGAGCTCAGAAGCCAGAAGGCTGACGAAAAGTGGCCTGTAAAGACCAGGCTGTGAGGTTTCTGCTGGGAAGAAGGACAGCAATGGTTGTTGGACTCCAGATCATTTGTACTTTGACTTCGCAGAGAAGTTGTCTGCATTTTGCTCGTGTCCAGAGACTGACTGCCTGAGAGTGAGTTTAAGCATGGTAGACTGATCAGTCTTTCAAAAGATATTTCAAAGCTGCCAAATATTGGGGCAGTGGCCTGGTTGTTGCTGAGGGCTTTTAGCCAGATTTATGTTGAAATAAAGAGCAAGGAGCCCAGCAGGATGGTTCAAAATGTGAGTTTGGGCAGAAAGCGCCAATAGAGCTGCAGACTGCAAAGATGGAGCCGAGAGGATCTCCATTGCCGGGAAGGAGCCTGAGAATGGAAGGGATGGCCTGAGGGTGTCACAGGAGGAGGTGGGTCTCCACCCTCTGCTGCCTCAGAGCTGCAAGGGTCAGGGACTCTGCCTTGGGGAGAAAGCCGCAGAGCCCCAGGATCCAGAATGGCGGCGGCTGCCACACCAGGTTCCAGAATGGCACCGGCATGGAGAATTTATTCCTCAGAATCAGGATCAGAGTGCTCAGCGGTCCAAGCTCTCGATCCCTACAGCCAAGAGAGAAAGCCTGGCTTCTGCTCCAGCTGGCAGCAGACCTTGGTGTCATCCACGTGGCGTTGGTTTTAGGCTCATTCAGAATGCAGACGTTCTGAGGTTAAGAAGGCCTCCACCCAGATTTCAGAAGGCCTGGGAGGCCAGGCGGTGTGCCCCTGAGAGGGCAGTGTGTGAAGCTGTGAGTGAGAAGCCTATTCAGTGGAAACCCCAGCAGTTAAAAAAACCCAGGAGCATGGATCATCTAAAGGAAACTACAAGGAGGTTGCAAAGCCCACCTCAGGTGGGGGGGAGCCGTGGGAGCTACCACCACGAGTGCCACAGGGGCGGAGCCACATGAAGCTCACAGTTTGCCACAGGTTGCTTCGGATGTCCCACATGGAACTGCGGGACTTAATATCTGCCCTGCTGGGTTTTGGACTTGGTTGGTCCCAATGCTTGGTATCCTGCTGTGTGTACCTCTTGGGATGGCAATGTTTATCTTGTGCCTTTTAGTGTTGCAAGCGTTTAAGTCTTCATTTGTACAGGGGCTCACAGCTAAGAGTTTGCCTTGGATCTTGGAGGAGACTTGGGACTTGGACTTTTCAGCAGTGCTGAAACTGTTGGGACTTTGGCAACTCTCAGAGATGGACCAGAATGCCTTTTGCATAAAGGGATGTGCATGAGTCTTTGGGGGTCCAGGGGCGGAATGTTATGCTTTGTGTGTAGTTGTCCCCCCAAAGGCTCACGCAGTCATGGGGTGGCTCCTGGAGTTTGTGACTGATGACTGTGGGTGTGGATGCTGCACCTGCCCTGGGGCAGGTAATCTGCATTACAGTGTAAGGTGGGAAGAGAAGCCAGCTGCCTGAGCTGCCGCTGCCCCTCTCTTTGCCCTCTTGCTCTTTGCCACCGCTGTGAAAGGTTGCTTTCTGCTGCTCTGCCTTGGAGCCAGCTGAGAATGGACTGAAACCTCCAGTGACTGTGAGCTAAATAAACCTTTCCTTCCTTCATTTTGGGTGTCAGGTATTTGTCCCAGCAACAAGAGAATAACTAAGACACTCATCTTAAAAATAGGGCTGTTCGTGTTCTTATTTTTGAATCATAAGAGTTCCTTATGTGCTGTGGATACAAGTCTCAATCAAAACATCTTTGCAAATCTATGTATTCAGGGTCAGGAGACAGCTCAGCGGCATAAGCACCTGCCTGGCAAGAGCAAGGCCCCAAGTTGCATGTCTAGGACCAAAAAAGTACCTTCTTTCAGTCTACAGCCTGTGGCTTATATTTTCTTTTCATTGTTCTGTTTGAGGCGTTTTTGTTTTTGTTTTGTTTTCAGAACCGGGGATTGAACTCAGGCCCTTGCACTTGCTAGGCAAGCGCTTATTCTACTGAGCTATCTCCCTGGCCCTCTGTTTGAGTTTTTAAGACAAGAGTTTCTCTATATAACCTAGATTGGCTTCAAACTCCCAGAGCTCCTGCCCCAGCCTCCCAGTGCTGGGATTTATAGGCATATACTACCATGTCCGGCCTATAAGTTCATTTTCTTAGTGTCTTATGTGCAGTTAAAGTTTCACTTTATTGTACTGTTTATTTATGCTAGAGGTGGAGCCCGGGCCTGTTGCACACTGGGCAAGGGCCCCACTGCTAAGCCGCAAGCCCAGCCCTTTTACTGGGAGTCAGGGTCTCACTGAGTTGCCTGGGTTGATCTCAAACTCTCGATCCTCCAAGCTACTGGCCCAAGTAGCTGGGATTGCAGGCACGTGCCCTCACCACACCTGGCAACTTCTTAATTTTAAGAAATTCTGACGTGCCAACTTTTTCCTTTACTGATCCCAGTTCTGGTTCTCTAGCTAAGAATTTTCTGTCTAATCCCAGTTCACAAGGATATTCTGGGTGGTTTCGTTGTTTGCTTAGTAGACCGTTCATAGCTCTAGACCCTGCACTCAGGTCTGCGGCCCACTCTGTGCTGGGCTTGGAGGCCAAGGTGAAGGTGCGAGCGCGCCTTCTGGAAGCCCCTTGCTGCAGCCCGCCCTTCTCTCCCCGCGGCGCGGGCACCGTGCTCAGAGGTCAGTGCCCGCGGGCCCAGGTCCTGCGTGGGCTGGGTTCTGCTCCACCGACTCACCCGTCCGCATCCGCAGACCCCAGCCGTGCCAGCCCTGCACCACCCAGCCTCGGGCAGGACTTGCTGTTAGAGTCCTCCAGCTTTATCCTTTTTCAAAATTGCATTGGCTGTTCTGGGACCTTCATGCTTTCCGCTAAATTTTCTGGCTGTGGGGGCCCAAGTTGACATTTTAGTTGGGCCCCCACAGCCAGAAACCCTGCTGGGATCTGCAGGGGGCCCCGCCCGCCCCCAGGGGCTCACCGTCTGCATGACGCCCGCCCGCGGCCCCAGGTCTCGGTGGGAGCAGAGCTCCGCGCCCTCGCCTGGCCCCGTGCGGCCGTGCAGCGCTCGTTGGCTGTCAGCAGATCGTCAGCGCTGTGCCACGTGCTGCTGGCTGCGTGTCACTGTCACTAACACGGCTGGTGAGCTTGCATGTCACGCTGTGTCCGTGCTCCTAGGAGAGGCATTTCCGTCAACTCACTGGGAAACTGCTGGGCTGCAGTTAATATAAAGGGCCAAGGAAACAGCTCAGTAGAAGAGTGCTAGCCTGGCAGTCACGGGGTCCTGGGTTCTAGCCCGGTACCACTAAAAAACAAAATTAATCTTTATATGTTGCTCTTATGTCCTTTGACTTGGCTGAATTAATTTATTAGTGCTGCCAGTTTT